ATTAGATTGATAGTTTAAGGTTATAAGTGGATGATTAGTTTTAATTGTTTCGATTCCATTGAATTAGTGTTATAATTTTGGTAATTTAGTGGAAAAGTTGGTGTGAAATTTGATTATAACAATTAATCAATTTTCTTGTAAACTAAATCAACAATATTGGTCAGTATAAGAGGAATAGAGTTAAATTGTTAGGGTAAACAATCAAGTAATCGAGAAATTTTCGCAATCGAGAAATAAATTGTTCGAAAAATGTTAATCAAATTAAAGTTACTCTTGAGAATTTAGAAAACATGAAAAGTTGAAAAGAAAACAAATTTTCAGAATTTTATCTCTTCAGAAGTGAAAAGTTCTGATGAAAAATAAATACACAAAGAAGAAGAAAATGAAAACAAATTCGATGGAATAATAAATTCTGACAAACATGATTATCTGATTAAATGAGGAGGAGAAAAATTGATCCAACAATCTAAATAAATTGTTGGTCAAATCACAGAGAGAGAGAATGAAAAAAAATTCTCCCACTGATTGTTAGCCAATTGTGATTTCTTGAGTTAATCAAACGAATTAATCATGATGATTCTGTAAATTCCAACAATCAATTTGATGAGGAGAAAAAAAAAGTTCTAAATCTTTATTCATTGATTTTCTCATTTCGAAGTTTTTTTTTCCACTGTCAATCGATATTTTTGCTTCCTTCGAGTTTGAACATTACGAACTCAACTTATAATATGAACAAACTTTCACCATTCAACTGAATAATAATATTATTATTCCTGAATTTATATTACACAAATGAACATTATATTTATTTAATTAAAATCTTTTCTCCACTAAAATGTATTAATTATTTGAGATTATCGTTGTTAATATTATTTGGGATCTTCAAATCTTGGATAATGAATTAACTGTGATTCTTGTTTATATTAATATGATTAATTGTTGGTTTTTGTTGATCATTTGCTTGTTGTCACATTGAATGATAATCATTTCTGATTGTGATAATTGTTCAACCAACTATAACTATTAATACAATTTGATAATACTAATAATCACATTTCATCATTTGGATCGGTAAACTTTTCATGTAAACCAATAAGTTGATGAGAGTGGGATGATGTGGTGGTGAAGATGATGGAGATGATGGTGGAGATGATGGTGGAGATCACCATGTTTGCTCTGTCAGAATATAAAGAGAAAACTTTGTTAATCCTCTTCTCTATTTCTCTTCATCATCTTAATAATCTTCATCTCAATAATAATAATAATATTCACTTTTTCATGACAATCAAGTTAAAGGTTGTGTATGTGGAAGTAGGAGTAGAATTCATAAAGATGAGGACGAAGAAGATGAAGAAGATGAAGATGATAATGACATGATAAGTTCCAACCCAGAAAATGAGTTGAATTATGTATCAGAACTTTACTCAATACCCTCAAACCCTTTCGAACTACTTTTCCCATTCCAACTTGAACAATTTTCCTTAATTCATCATTTCCACTTTGAGGAAATACAATTTCATCAATTTACAATTTGCAACAATCAGTTAATTATTTGTAAAGAAAATCAAATCAATATTTATCATTCCATTAGCTGAATCGTTGAAAAAAAACACAACCATACAATTAACTTTAACTTGACAAGATTATTAGATTTGATTGTGGTTATAATATTGGAGTTTGTTGATTAGGGTAAACATTAATCATGATTAATTATCTGTACACAACAATTGGATTTGAACATTTTTCTTCACTGATTAACTAATTGATTAACAAGATAAATTAGTTGGAAACAGTTTTAAATGTTTAATTTGATTAACAATTGAAAACGTTTAATGCTCATGACAACAATATATTAATTGTAACAAATGTAACTGATTGTTAATATTATTTAGTTTCTAATAATAATACAAAATTTGATCAACAAAACAATCAAACAATTAATTAGGATCATTATTATTATTCAGGAAAGTGAAATGTATTAATGGTAATTGTTGTTGATGATTATTGAAATTGTTCAACTTATTATCTTGATATTAATGATGAGCAAAACTAACAATAACCTTGAGGGTGTTTCAAAAATGAATCACATGGAAAGTTTCATATATAATCCTTATATAACTTGAATCCTCCCTGTTGATGACAAATTATGGTGTGTTTGATGATGATGAAGATGATGATGATGATTGCCAAGAAATGATTATACTCTGGGTAGTCACTTGCGGGCATAATATTATCATTCATGATGATTGATATCATGAAAATAAAAGGTCAACATCTGAATCAGAATAAAATAAGATTCAGTTGTGACACTATTTGTATAACAATACAATTAGTAGATTTAAATTTCAATTGATTGTTAACTATTCATTTCATTGAACATGAAGGTTGAGAGAGAGAGAGAGAGAGAGAATTTTCCTCATGGTTTCATGCTGAACTTTTTTATACTCCAGCATTCAGATGATAATGTTATAAATATATCTCATTGTTGGTTCGTTTTCTTATTCAGAACTTTATTCCTATTGAAAATTGTCACTATCATGCTAATAATCTGAATCGTTCTGAATACAAGGTTATAATGATAGAAAGTCTGGTAACTTTTAGCATCATCATACTTTGAGAAATTGCCTGGAGGCTTTTATTTTGGGTGGAAAAGAAAATTTTATTTTTCAACTTTTGAAATGATTTGGAATCTTTTTTTACCTCCTCCTTCATTCCCAATTAATATGAAACAATTGAAACTATTAATAAATCACATGAATCGAGTAACAATTTGACCCAACAAACCGATTTTGATTGTTAATCATTATTAGACTTTAGGTTTGGAGAAATAAAAAAGTGAAGAAAATAAAATCAATCCTATTGAAACTAGAAACGAATCAAGAACTAATTCTGTGAGCTGATCCCTCATGAAAAACCCTTTCATGACAATCCTCAAATCTAATCCCTTGTTACTGAATACTTACCATGAAATTTAATAAAAGAAAAAGATATTGACCATCAGCATAGTCATGATGATGATGCAGCAAAGAGATGACCAAAGGTCAGAGATGAGGATTGAATGTGAAACAAGGAGAGAGAGAGAGAGAGAAAATCTCCCCGGTGAGAAAATTTTCCCTCTCGCCTTGAGTTATAAAAAAAATCTTCACTTTAAATATCATAGGAAAAGGAAAATGTTCAAATTGAATTTCAAGTTAATCTCAACAATGATAGCTTACTATTCACATGATAGATTCAGATAATGATATGATTTAGAAATTTTATCCACCATGGTTATGGTGATGTGTCCAGATTATTATCCTCAGATTCACTGTGATTCTGACAGATTATAAGAGTATATTGTTTTCAAGAAGGAATTTTCATTTTAAAGCAAAAAAAAAAAAATTTTTCCTCGAACTTGAATCTCAAAGTATAACGAACAAGAAGAAAATAAAAAAGTTCTGAAAAATCTGAATTCTTGTCAAAATCAGAAGTCGTCGAGAATATTTTTAGACATATAATGATAATTTTCCGCAAACATGTAAACATAAACACTTTTTTAATGATTGATGATAAACGGATGATAATCAAAATTAATTGTAAAAATACAATAGCGATCGTTTAATTTTATCTATTACTAACAATTAACTAAATTGATCAATTGTTTCATGAAGCATTGGCAACCATTGTTTTACTTTTATATGGACAAAGAGTTGACATTTTATCAATGACAATCAAAGTTGATTTCATGGTAATGATCATCGAGATGATTTTATCTTGAAAATTGAAATTCCCTGAAAATAATAAATGAACAAAAATGTTGAAATGTTATCGAAATCAGTTCAACATGGATACCATGCAATTGATATTACATATATTGTATATATATATATACTGTTAACCTCATTGTTATTATTAGTATCATGAATTTCATGAGGGATATTAAATTGTAGGGATTGAGTTTTTTGCTTTTCCAAATTGAAAAAAAGGTTTTCAATTTCATTCGCTGATATTAAAGTGAATATATGAGGAAAAGCTGAATGGAAATCATCATGTACATCTTACTTTCACCATGTTTACTGTATTTAAATGAACCTTTCAACTGAATTAACAACAACAACAACACCAACTGAATCAACACCAGTCCCAACAATGAGAAAACTTTTCCCGAAACTTTTAAAGAAAAACCCAAATAACACTTACATGGTAAATCCAATTGAGATTCAAAGTTATCATCATTATTATCTGAAATTCATCTAGTAAATGGTAATTATTATCTCATGGATAAAATAAAAGACAATGTTAAGATTATTTTTATATCAACATTATCATCTAATTGTGATTAGATATATTTAGTTTCCATAGTCTCTTTCATAATTGATCAAACTCTCAATGTATTGTTGCTCAGTTTTGTTCAATTAAAATGAGATTATCATGAAAGGATTAACTGATTTACATGGTTTATATTGTATTAAAAAAAAGAGGATAAAACAACCTCATTGGTATAAAGCCACAAAATGATATCCAAAATGATCATCAACTTAATCACCATCTTGATTTAGTTAACATTCAATTGTATTGAGTAAATCTTGATCATTTTCTCTTACATCTTTACTTTTTGTCACCATCATCATTTTCATCTTCATTGTCATCTTATTCCTAAATCATGAGACATTATTACCTTTGAGTATTGGAAAAGATAACTTTCTCTTCAGGTAATAACTTTTGTAGACTCGAGTAAAAACTGAGAGAGAGAGAGAGAGAGAGAGACTGATGATGATAATAAGGAGGATATAGAATGATGATGATGATGATGATGACCATTAGGATAACAGTTAACAATTTGTATTAATCATAATTGTATTTAGAAAATATTAGTAAATATTGTTTCCATTTTTCGATTCCATGTTTTTCTTCATGGATCATGATCATGATCCCCATTACTCCGTCTGGATCATTAACTTTCATCATTGTTGATCAAATTGATCGTTGGTTACGTTAATTGTTAGAGACAATTGAACATATATATAATATGAAATAGTGTATATTTAGATATTCATATGATTGTAATGATAATATCGGTTAATTGGATTAATTAAACAGCAAGAAATTTGTTACATTCAGAAATCAATAAATCTTTACATTGGGTTATTATCTCAGCGTGATTAGAGTCCACCAAGATTGTTTCAAGATGACCATCAATGGACTGTAAGGATAATAATAAAGAGAACAAGATAAAAATTAGTTTATCATCAGTTTACAGTTGAAAAGATTCAGAGATATTATTACATGATGAAAATATTATCAATTTCGATGGAATAATAATGATATCATCTACAGAATTGATAACATATCAAGAGTAAAGAAGATGAAAAAAACAAGAAAAAGACAAAAGGAAAATACTGATAGAATGTTGTTCATTTATATTTCCTAGGAAGAGAAATGATGATCAGCATGATGATATTTATCCTGAATCATGATGAAACTCTCTCTCTCTCTATTTCTTTCCATGGAAAACAACAACAATCATGATGATAATCATCTTCATCTTTAACCAATAGGAATGAGATGAAGTTGTCATTGACCAGATTCTTATATTTAAAGGATCGTATTGATCTGACAATGAAACTTTGATCCTGATCATGTGTTTATTTACAGGGTGGTTGTCCGATTATATAAATGACCAATGGCCAGTTAAAATTTAGAAAGAGGAATATAAGTTAGTAATGATATTACGATCGAATGTAATTATTAAGATTAACTGAGAGAATATAATTCAACCTTTATTTAGTCTTTTTTTCAAGAAAAAAAGGTAAAGAAAATCCGTAAATTCGGTAACCAATTTCATACATGTAACATGAGAACATGTAACATTGATGAAGAAAAGTAAAAAAAGTTCTGATTAGGTTTCCATGTTGATCTTGAGTATTATTTATTCAAGGGTCATTTCTATGGTTGATTTTATGGTTTCATCATCTTTGTAACAATTAAATCAATTTCTCCTTAGTGGAGTTAACTTAATCAACTGGGCGAGAACGAGAACGAGGAAGAGAAAGAGAGAGAGAGAGAGAGAGAGAGAGAGAGAGAGAGAGAGAGAGAAAATCAATTACGAAAAAAGTTTGTTTCTTCTCAACCTGAAGGCTATTCCATAACTAGAGAAACCAACTGACCATATGAGAAGAGAGTGAGTGAGTGAGAAAGAGTTGACCAATAATGGATAATACAAAAGCTATTTGATTATCGTTATTAATTGTAATTATATTCAAGTAAATAATTCATACCAAATGATTAGAATCATTTGTAACGGTAAAAGTTACATCAATCCAATACTTATTTACCCTTATAAAGATTCATTCATTTTGTTGTAACATTTAACAATTGGTAAACCCTGTAACTTGTTTACTATTTTTGTAAACAAAACATGATAATGTTCATGATGATAATAATAATCATGATGATCATGTTCATTGAATAACAAGAAACAAACACCATATTAGATATTTTATATATTGGCTAACATGAAATCTAATAAATAATATGATGATAACAGAAAATGATAATATTTATGATGATAAGAATGAGAAGATGATAAACTCACCTTATCGAGTGAAACAGCAATACTGCCCTCGAATGATGAAACTGTTTGTTTACATTTAAAGAAAAGGGCATCAGCTTTCAATTTGGGTTCGATTTTCATCTCAGCAATATATTGATATCTTGAGAATATGAGATCTTGAGTTAGGTCGAAACTGGATGCTTGTTGGGTATTCTTGAAGGTTCGAGCTCTCCACGAATTACCCTGATTACCCTGTTTCCGATCCATTCTTTTGAGGAAGGCAAAAAGTGCATCTTTATCAATGGAAACATTTCCTAAGGTCTCGGAGATTTTCACTGACCAGGCAAGAGCTTGATGTATACCGAATGGGGTTGAATCGATGAAAACTATTCGTTGAACTGTATTTTCTCCGCGAAGATTTTGTATCTTTCTACCAACTTCAAAAGCAAATGCAGCTCCCAACGAATAGGAGACAAAATCGTAGGTTGGCTCATTTGGCCATTGTTCAAGAATTCGAGAACAGTAAAAATCAGTCAGCGTCTCCCAATCTTTGGCTATTTCGTTGTCATCGGTAAAATCAATTCCAAATACTTGACGATTAAGACCTCGAGCAAGGGGTAACATCCCGAGGAAGTCGAAAATTGCCGGAGGGAAAAAGAACACTGGTCTTGAGCCGGTTGTCTTAAGTGGCCTGAATATTTTATCTAAACCTTGAGTTTCTTGAATGTCAACTGATTGAATCTCGACCGATGCAATTTTAACCAAATTTTCAAGTGTCAAATCGTAAATGGAAGCGGCTCCAAGGGAAAAGTTGAAATTGTGCTCAAGATATTCTTGTACTTCGATTGCCTGAACAGAATCCATTCCAAAATCTCTGAGACGAAGTTTCAGGTTAATTGTTCGAATATCTTTAACTCCAAGGATTCGAGATACTCGAACCAGAGCATCTTGTGGATCATTTTCATCTTTATCAAGAATTGGAATCGCTGAGAAACCTATTGAAATATCTTCTTGAAGGAAAATTTCCAGAACTTCGAGACATGAGCGTATTCGCTGTGGCTCAAAACCAGCGACCGATGCACTGTCCCCAAGGGTTCGAACAGCAATACCCACATCACCTACTGGTCCCCATTGGATAGCCAAACCTGGAAGGCCATCTTTCCGTCGATCAATACAAACCCGTTCCATGAAACTATTCGCATAACCATAATTTGATTGTCCCAAATTACCTTGTGAAGCGACCGAAGAGAAACAAACAAAATAGTCGATACACGGACAATGTTGTCTACTCAGAATGTCCATATTTCGAGTGGCCTCAATTTTAGGCCAACAAACTGCTCGAAAAGCATCTAACGTCTGATTGGAGAAAAGACCATCTTTAAGAACAACCGCTAAATTGAAGATTCCACCGATTGGACCAAGTCGAGTTGCTTCACGGATCAATCGAAGAGCCGATTTACCATGAGCAGCATCTAAACGAGAGATTTCAACCTTGGTTGAACCAATTGATCGGATTCGTCGAATAGCATAGCGCTGATAGTTTGTTTTTATTCCCGATCGTGAGGTTATAACAATTTTTCTCGCTCCATGTTCAACTAACCAAAGAACAAGTTCAAGACCCATTCCTCCTAATCCACCGATAATCAGGTAACTTTTAGTTGAATCGAAAAACATTTTCTTAAGACACGAAATTAAACATTCAGTTGATGGAGAAGGTAAAGATGAGGTGACTATGGTTGACGACAAGTGTTCATCTACTTGGCCATTTGTCGTTGATTCGATTGATGGGTCATTGAGTTGTACCACAATTTTACCAATATGTTTACCGGAGGCCATGTCATTAAATGCCGAGGAAACTTGGGAATGATGATAAATTGTATAAGGTAAAGGTTTAATCATTCCATCAACGATTCCATCCTCGATTATTTGAATAATCTTATTGATTTCGTTGACTCTTTTAGCGGCAAAAAGGGTCGCTAAACAAACGGCGTGAATAGACAGGTTGGGTTTCAAGTCCATTCGGTCTGAGAGAGACAACAGAGGGGGAGATGGTTCAGAAACATTTAAATCTGTAACAGAAAAGGGGTTGTGACAACAACAGAGCCTTTGATTGGTTATAAGCTAACACAGAATTTACGAGACAATTTGGACACAATTGATTAATTCAATTAAAAGGAGTAAGGAACATGTACTTTAAAGTGTCCCGATTAAACTTACCGAGTAATTTATCCTCGAAAATGTCGACCTTGGATAGATCGAGGAAACGTCCATTATCAGCTAAAACCCGAAGACCAGCATCAAATTTATCGCGAATCAATGAGTTCAATACAATATCGACTCCACGTCCATTGGTACGTTTTAAAATTGTCTCTTCAAATTTGATTGATCGAGAATCGGTAAACGCTTCATCGGCTAATTGAGGGTATTGCTTTTGGACTGCTCGTTGTTTATCAAGTGTTGAAACTGTGGTGAATATTTTACACCCAAGTGAGAGACAAATTGATATCGCTGCAAGTCCAACTCCCCCTGAACCTGAATGGATAAGTACAGTTTCACCAGGCTGTAGGTTACCACGGATAAATAGTCCATAGACAACGGTCATGTAACAAATGGGTACCGTTGCTGCTTGGGCAAATGTCCAATGATCGGGAATCTTCATGGTGATCAGATAAGGATCTTTGGGTGAGATGAAGGTCGAGAACGCGTTGCCACCCGTGAAACCCATTACTCTTTGACCCTTAAAAGTGCCGGTAAACTCAACTCCAAGCCGATAGAAAGATTTGACTGGATAAGCGTTAGGTGGTAATAGATCATGAGACAAAAGGAAATCACGGAAATTTAAAGATGCATAGGAAACGGAAATTAAATCATTTACAATCGATGGATCATCAGCTATCTCTTGAATTAGCGAATTATTTTGTACCCATTGAACTCGACCATCGACTTTAGCCGATGATTCCAAACAAACGTAACGAGATGTTGTAAATTTCTGTTGATTATCAAGCGATAGATCAACAGTACGATTAAAACCCCAAACTCCATCGGTGTAAATGTTTACTAGTAAATCACGATTGATCAAATCTTCGGTTAAATCGGTTGATTGATTGAACGGCTGATCAGGTGAGAATATACATCGAATCTTATTGGAAAATCCTGGCTCCAAGGAAAGACAATTAGTTAATCCAATTAAACCATTTTGAGAAGATTCATCAGCGACTAACCAAAGTCTATCGATATGGTCAAGTTGGTCGAGTGTTTTTTTAACCTCATCGAACCAGAAACACTCTGATGATCCCGTTATTTTAATCACTCGATGAGAGTTAATTGTTGACACTGGTGATTTACGTCGGAAAAGAAGGCATCTTAGATTAATTTCCTGACAGAATGTGGAACCAATTTGAATGTAATTTGATTCTTGATCAATTAATTGACACAATTTATGAGTAGTTAAAGGTAAATCATTGTCGATTGGTAGTTGACAGTAATTAGCAAGCTTTTCCTCTAGGGGTGATAATTTTTCACGAATTAAAATTAAACAAAAGTTTCCTCTCATAGTTGATATTATTGAAGATTCATTGTAATCAGTTTTGATTGTTGATCCACCAAATAAATCAACAGAACGATGTTTATAAACAGTAAGAACCATTTCAGATCCAGGTTTGGTTTGGTTGTTTGACAATTTACTAATTGTTTCATCGATAAACACGCAACCCTTACAGATCGCGTTAAATTGTGGTTGAATTAATTTCTTTAACATTTTCGATGTGAAATCATAGTTTTGAATTGAAATCTTTGATTCTCGACGATTATTTTCGGCAACCAGGTCAATTAATGGGTGGACACAATCGACAGGAAGTAAACAAATTAAATCGTCAGTAAATTGTTCCCTTTGCTGGACTTTTAATGCACCAAGAAGATAATTAACTCGATCTGATGAGAAATCAATTGATTCGTTGAGTAGATTCAATAGATTTGGACTAAAATCATTATTCGAAATGTTTGGTTTACCAAAAAGATTTTCGATCTCAATTTGGTCAATCTTTTCATTATTTTCCAATGATTCAGATCCTAATTGACAATATTTAGTTCGCAATTTAACTAACTGTTCATCTAATTGAATAAAATTGTTAATCAATGGGTGGAACAATTGTTGACCAATTCGAAGGCGATCTTGTTGACCTTTGATTGGAAATTCTTTTACCTCGATTCCTTCAAAGGTCATTCCATTTGTACCAACTGACCCTGGTTTCGTTGAATAGACTTTGATCAATTCTTGACCAGTGGTCAGGAAAGATTTGAATATATCCACATCGAATCTCATCTCACCAATTATGGTTGGAACCAAAAGTTTCCTCTCTGGAGTCCAAAAGGCTTCCAATTGAAGGAAATTATCAGCTAAGGCCATCCAATCCTTGGTATATTTGAGAACCGCCGATGAACGGGTTATCTTGGCCGAAGAAACATTTCGATAAGCGGACTGATAACGGTAACCTGAAATCGCCATTTCTTGATAAAACTCTTCATGGCTCAGTTCCATCTCTTCCGATTCAATTGTTTTAATGTAACCATAATCAAAGAGATTCACATTTTCCTTTAATGAATCTTTTGAAGCTGATGTGATGCTAGAAGTTGATTTAATTATTGAAGCAAATCCAGTTGCATAAATTGATCCTGATGCTGATATTTCAAAGGAACATGAATTCGTATCAAAATAAACTGTAAACTCAATCGGATCGGTGATAAGAGCCGCTCGAAGTATTTGAACATTCCAAACCTTAAACGAGAAGGTGAAAACATCGGTATATGGACCATAATGAATGAGTGATAAATGTTTTCGAATCAGATAAATGTAACCCGTGGCGGGAAAAATGACCCGATCATCGATAACATGATCACTAACATAAAAGTATTCTGGATCTAAAAGGTCAACTCGATGAACGGTCCGTTTGGGCAGGTCAAAGTAATGAGAATATCGGTCAATTACTGGATATTCAATCTCATGGGACCAGCTAATTAATCCCGATAACGATGGACAATCACGAGAAACTGGATAATTGTAAGTCGGATAAAGAGATGACAATTTAATTGTTAATCCATGAAGATAAAGTATTCCCAAAGTTGAGTAAAAGTTTTCCAGCCAATCATTGTAACTTAAATTGGTTGATGATTGTAACAATTTATTTCCTTTGCCGCTGGTTAAGGTTAAATTAGATCCAAGATTTAAGGTTAATTTCAATGAAGAAGATGATGAGTTAATTGTTGACGTTTTCAATGGCAAATCTTTTGATCCATTGGTGTTTAAATTGACATTTAATTGATTGGTTTCTTTAGATTGTCGAGTTAAATTAATTGTTTCACATCGAGACAATTTACCACATTTGTAGTGATCAAGTGTTGAAAGGTAAACAGAATTAGAAGTGTTTAAATTAAATTTGATTTCTAGAGAGTTTAAAAGGTCAATTATCCCAATGTAGATAACAATTAGTGAATCATCATTAGTTAATTTAGTTGATTTAAGCTCTTGGTATGAGGAAGCAATTGAGTCACTGAATGGTTTTAAAGTTGACAAGATTTTCATACAATCAATTAAAGATGAAGACAAATTAACGGTTAGTTCAATTGTTGAATGATTTGAATTGATTATTGTTTTACTCTGTTTAATTATGTTTCCTTGATTGTTGAGTAAAACAAAGCCTCGGGCTACCATTCCGGTTGAGATTCGGGTAAGTGAAATGTCATCTAAAAGGGAAAGACAATCTTCACGTGTCGATTTAGGTTCATATTGAAGCCATTGGACCATTTTATCAATTCCTTGGATTGTCCGATTTGATAGTAAAACGATTCGATGGTTAATTGTTGATAATCCAGTTTGATTGGGTGATTGATAATCAGGAGCATCACAGGAAATTATTACATGAGCATTTGACCCGCCGAAACCAAATGAATTGACACCAATGTATTTACCGGTGAAAGGAATTGTCTCCGAGGCGGAAATTAATCGTCCATTTGTTAGTCCGTCAATTTTGGGATTTGGTGTGATGATCGGTATATTTGGTGGAATCATTTTTGTTTGGAATATTTTAATTGCCTTTGCAATAGCGGTCAATCCAGAAGCAGCCTCAGAGTGGCCTAAATTTGATTTAATACAACCCAAAGTTATCGGTTTATCACTTTGGAACGATAAGCGGATAAAATGGACGCACATTCAGCCAGATCACCGGCCTGAGTTGATGTAACATGAGCTTCAACATAATCGACATCTAATGGATCAATAGCCGCTTGGGTGAGAGCTTCGACCATGACATTTTTCTGAGCCTCAGAACTTGGTGATGTGATACCGGCCACAGTATATCCGTCGGAATTTACTGCCGAACCAAGAATCGTTGTGTACATCCGTTTAGCTTTGTTTGATCTTTGAAGAACCAGTGAAACAATTGCTTCAGATCGTATATAACCATCGGCATTAGCGTCAAGACATCGAGATTTCCCCGATTTGGTGAACAGATCAAGTTCACTTCCTTCAACAACGATTCCGAATCGCTGATGAACTGCTAATCCTGCGACGATCGCTTGGTCACATTGACCTGTTTTTATGGCGATAACCGCTTCATGAAGAGCTGTTAATGATGATGCACAGGCAGAATCCAATCGGACGGAAGGTCCAGTGAAATTGAATACAAAAGGTATTCGAGTGGAGGTTAATTGAAGGAAATCAGCCCGTTTGTCGCTATCGACAACAACATCGGTATCATCGACAAAAGAACCGACAAAAAATCCCGTTCGAGTTGATCTCCAATCTTCTGGGACAATTCCTGTAACAATTAGAAAATAAATCAACAATTAAAACGATATATACATGTAATTGATATACGATAATTTATCATAGACCATTATTGATTTAGAAATTAAAAGCCAATTGTGATTAATTAGTGAACGATGAAAAATTAAACTGTGAAAAATAACAATTGTGTTTCCTTGATTGTAGTAGTAATTTTTTCAAATGATTTATTACAATTACAATTAGCAAGAGGATTTAATTTCGTAGTGACATTAAACCAAAAAGGTATGAACGGTAATCAAATCAGTTAATTGTGAAAACTTGGAGACCAATTAAATAAATCAAAACCAATGGACTCGATTGATAAGCAAAACAAATTGATTAACTAATTAAACAAAAATTAGAAAGTGAAAAATTTTCAAATCATTTAAAATGAACTTTAAAATTGAAACTTAATTGTAAATCTAAATTGTATTGTCATAGAGTAATTTAATCAACGATTAAGAAATTAAAATGTTTATCATTAAATCATTAATATTATGTTTGTTGATTGTTTCAACTTTATCTAAATCAGGTGACAAGTTAATTGCTGATTTACCATCGAAAGGGTTAATTGAACAATTAATTGCCAAACGAGTGATTGGTGGACATGAACCAGGATTACCTGAGACAATTTACTTTTACGAGGATCAATCAGATCGCCAATTAAAATTATGGAAACAAATTAATTACTTATATTCATTAATTAAACATCCAAATACTCAAATGAACAACAATTGAATGAATTGTACTCGAAAATATCACAATAAAGTTTTCTAATTTAAAAACTGATCGTCCAATTGATTGGAAATATTATCAAGTAGAAATTATTTACACATAAATTGTAACAATTAACTAATTACCTGCATCCCAAAGAGCTTCGTAAACGGTTTCATGAAGTATCCGGAATTGAGCATCAAGATCACTAGCATCGGATTCTGAGTAACCAAAGAATTGAGAATCAAATAGACTTGGATTGTTCAAAGCGCCTCGGGCTTTAGTAACAATTGGAAATACTAATTAAACACAGAGAAAGAGAAATAGAAAATTTTGTAACAATTAAAATTGATTAAAAGAAAATTCAATTAGTTACATTTGGTATATGGAAAATTATCCTTCTCGTATAATATCAATGATTCCTTGAGATTATCCCAAAGTTTATCCAGATTATCAGATTTAGGCCATCGACCGGAAATCCCAGAGATGACGATTTCATTTGCACTCATTTTAACATTAATTGTCCAGTTAATTGTTTACTAAATTCACTTGGATTCACTACGATTAGTAAAAAGTTTGATTTGATTGCTTTTTGATTGTTTTCTTTACAATTGTTTTTAAACTTGATAACTGATTTACTTTGTTAATTGTAATTAAAATTGAATCCCAAAAGTTTTACGCATTAAACTGAATCACTTTGGTTTCTGCTGCTTTTAAGTTAATTGTTTCCTCGTTAATAAATCATTTGAAAGGTTGATTGTTACCCGATTGTAGATTCTTGATTAAACTTCTAGTTTGTATCATCACCTTTTCTGTATACAATATGTGTCTCTATCTCTCCTTTTTTTTTTGGTTGGATATTTTTACAATTAAAATTAAGAATTGATTTACATTTGTTATTTAGATGGATTACAATTAAGGAAAGATTGAGAGATACAGAGATAATTTAATGAACGTAGAAAAAAATTAATGAGAAATCAGAGACAGAATCGGAAGAGAGAGAGAGAGAGAGAGAGAGAGAGAGAGAGATTAAATTTGTAAAATTACAATGGGTTGTAGTGGTTACATCAAAAATACACAATTATGTTTGCTGTAAGCATGAGAAATCATGATTTAGTTAATCAGCTAATTATCACAAACAAGTTTTGAGAGACTTGAACACTCATGTTGTTGAAAGATGATCATTGGTATCATTACCTTGGTTATGTGAGATGATTTATCTGTTTACTTTCAATATCCTTTGGAGAAAAAGGTTGTAAGTGGTTAGATGTGATTGTAATTGTTGTGAGACCAAATTATTGGTAAATTATTGTTCAAAATTAAACAACTAGTCGAGAATTGGTAACATTTAAATTCTCAAAATTGAACAATCAATGATAATCAAGTTGCAAATGGTTCCACATGGGTCCAAGATTAAAACCAACGTGTTTCTGGTTTTCTTCAATGATGATGGATGATTAAAGATCTTTGCTCCAGAGATGATTAGTTGATTTTTTAGTTTTTTTTCTTCTTCTCGATATTGATTGAATAAGCGAAAAGAAAATTAGATTATCAATTGATTATTGTGGTTTACGAATTTTAGAGCGAATCGATTTTTCAATCTCAAATTGTCTAACATCAGCACGAGATAAGAAGGCCTGTCTTTCAACGTAACCATCTTTGCTAAGTGTCGCTTGTTTAAGGTCATCTTCGATTCCTTGGTCACGTTTAAAACTGTCCCAGTCGATCTTTGATTTTTGTAGTGTTCCTATTTTATTTTTTTTACCAAGATTTGATACGAAATCTTTCAGGCCACTGCGTCTAATTGTAGGTACGGGTGGAGCAGATGATTGAGCAACCAATGAAGATGATGAGCTAAAAGAGAGGACAAGAAAAAGTATAAATATGATTACAAAATGGTTGACAATTTAAACATAATGTTTTTCTAATGGTGACATTATGTGTACATAGAAACACTCACATAGGTGCACACATTAGATAAATTTGATTGAGTTTAGACTTACCTAGTAACTGGTTTGGGTGTTTCTTTGATGACAACTTTTTCACCGGCAAAATCATAAACTTTCTCAGCAATTGCCTCTTCATTGGTCTCTTTGGGTGTTGATAATGGTTTAGGTTCCGATTTAATTGAACTGGAATCATTAAGTTCAGCCCAAAGGTCATCAGCTTTTTTCTTCTTCTCATCTATGGTCAAATCTTTTTTATCTTCACCTTGCTGGTCAACATTTTCAGCATCATCATCATCTTTCAATGATTTCCTTTTGATTCCACGTCTTTTCACCTTTTTTTTCCTCTTCTGTTTCGCTGGACCATCATTACCATCGTCACTTTCACCGGATCCATTGCTTGATTCATCATCATCATCATCAATATCTTTTTCATGATCATCTTGAGAGAAGAAACAATCAAAAGAAGATAAACAATTAGCAATGGGCACAATTGTTCGGCAAATTAAATCACTTAACAAACCATCATTTTCTAAATCCTCTTTACTGGGAACATAGTCTTCATCATCTTCCTCATCATCGTCATCCTCTTCAGCGACCGAAGCCAAATTCTTGAAGGTATCCATATGAGAAAAGCAAATCAACCCAAATAATAATCAAAAGACAAAAGGGACACACCTAATGAAATGAACAACACAGAATTTAATTGAAAAACGATCAAAATCAATTCCAACAATTAGAGATGAAAAAAAAGCCAACCAGAAAAAGAGAAAAATACAAATTCAAGTTAAACAAAGAGAGAAAAGAGCAAAAAATAAACAAGAGAAAAGAAAAAAAAGAAAACCAGTCTAGGGATCGATATATAAATAACCAAACACAAACTCTTTTCTTTTTTGATGGAAAATCAATTAAACCAAATTAGAATTTCTAATTGTTGATGTAATTTATTTAATTATCTTTTTCGCCCACAATTTAGATTAACTGACCAATTCTAATTGGAATTGATTGTTTTTCGTTTCTGATCAAGACATTTTCATACTTGGGGATCATCTTTCTCTCTCTGTGAATCTCTTGTTTACTTTTTCTGTCTTTGTTTTGATTTTCGTTTTCTTCTTATTGGTAATTAATTAATTGGTTGATTGGTGTTTTTAAGAATTGTTTTTACTTACAATTTACTAATTGTCTTGTGTATTGAAAGGATTGACTGACCATAGAGAGATAAGTTGATTTGATGACAAAGAAAAACCATTTTACCAGAAAACCGGAGCCAATTTTCTCAGGTGAGTTTATTTATTTTCCATTACTAATTAACTTATTTTTGATAGAGGAAAATTTTGTTAATTTATTTAATTTCTTCCAATTAGAAAATGATTCCATGTTTTTGATGTTGTGTTGAGAAAAATTTTATTCGAAATATGATGATGTTTATGAAACTGATCCATCTTCATGGTAGATTTTCAATCTTTTGTTACAAAATAGTGTTTACCTTTTTCTCTCTCTCTCTCCCTCTAATAATTGTCTATCATTCTAACGATTAATGATTAACTGTGTAATTAGTTAATTTTCTGTTATAGTGATTGAAACAATTCAAGGTTACCAATTATCTCTAAATCATCATGAAGACCTTCTAGTAATTGGAAAATCATCTCTAACCATTTTCTTCGCCATCATCTTCTCATTTTCAAGTTTCTTCCTTTTCTCTCTTGTGTATGTGTTTATTTGCTTTTCCATCAAATTTCAATTCATTTACCTTTTTCTATTCTCTCTCTTTCTCTCTTTCTCTATTATAGATGTCTTGATAATCATTGGATTGCAATTTTGTCACCATCATCATCATAATTGACGCCATCACAAAGTGAAAACAATAAACATCCATTGGACACAGTGATTAATCTGGAAGAAATCAGAGTGACCAAGCAAAGATCAGTGACCACAATATAAACAAATCTACTGACACTCACACACCCTTTTCATCAACAGTAAACACCAATTGATTGAAACCTTTTTTATTTTCCTGTTGTGATCATAATTTTCTCAAGCTCATCATCACCATCATCATTATCTTCATCAATTGATTGTTGATAAAGAACAACAGAAAGTTAACCAAGCTTGAAGAGGTATTGAAATCAAAGAAAAGCTTTATCATCGTTACTATTGGCAAAGAAAGATCTGGTTTCTATTGGTGATGGATTGTAAATTGGTTCATTGTAACAATCAACAACGACCCATCATACGTGGTTCACTTGCCAGAAGTGTTTATGAGAGAATGCTCCGTGAGGAACAATTGAGAAATTTTGACACTTCCAAATGGTATAAAATTGATAATAATCAAGTTAACGATTCCATAAGTTCCAAGTTTATTGAATTAAACTATGATTCGGAAACCGATACATTTATTAAAACGTGCTACCAAAAATCGGACTGGTTATTTACCCATATCTTCAATGCTTTAGCTCAAACAGTATTGGGTCTCTTTATGACATCTACATCAATCAATGGTCTTCTCAAACGTGGTTCAATGTTTGTCTTCTCAAATTCACAATTTAACCTGTTCTACGATGAAATTGGTACAATTAAATCAGATTCGGATTCTTCCCTATTGGATATTGGTTCAGGTGATGGTCGAGTTACCTCAGTAATGTCCAAATATTTTAATAAAACCTATTGTACGGAAGTGAGTCCAGTCATGAAAAGGTTACTGGTCAAGCGAGACTATGAAATACTTGATGCTGATAAATGGTATGAGAATGACCTTTCCTTTAACCTGATCAGCTGTTTAAATGTACTGGATAGATGTGATCGTCCATTAACCATGATTAAAAAGATGAGGCAAAAAATCAAACCCAATGGAAGGATTTTATTAGCTCTGGTATTACCATTGAATCAATATGTTGAATCTTCAGCCAATGGCCATAAACCAAGTGAATCAATTACTTTAACAGGTAATAGTCTTGAACAACATGCTCAATCATTTATTCAAGATTATATTGAACCAAATGATTTAGAGTTAATTGCTTGGACAAAAGTACCTTACCTGTGTGAAGGAGATCTAGAATTGTCATATTATTGGTTAAATGATGTTCTTTTCCTACTCAAACCTAAATCAAGCTAATTAAGTTAATCCATTTTTCTCATGGATTGTTTAACACACACAACAACAATTAAAGCCAAATCTTCACAATTAAAGCAGCTAAAATCCATCACAACAACAACAACAACAACAATTTACATTCTTAATCACCTTTAATCACTATCACCAAATTCACGAACGGATAAAGATATCATTTTTTACCAATAATCAATTTTGTCAATTCTCAATCGTCTCTCAATATAATTGCATCTCACTGATCCATAATAACCGCTAAATTGTAAAACAGTTTTCAAAACCACAATTAACTCTGATTCTCATGTGATTTAATGTTAACCATTACAAGATTAACTAAGATAGTTCTTAATTGTTTAAACCGAAAGTATTTAAAACTGTTAAAGTTTATACACAATTAGACACAATATCATTGCCAAATTGTTGACTATAGACAATTTAATTAACCAATTAATACATATAATATGACTGAATAACACTATGGACAAGTTTTTGTTTTAATTACCGTTAAACAATTAGGAAAACACAATCAAGAGTTAATTTGATTTGAATCTGTTGATTTTTCATTTTGCCTCCTCTCCAATCAAACATTACTTTCAATCAACGATCATCAATTAACCAACCCTTTAATTGTCTCATATTGAACACAATTAAGTTTTATTATCTTTCCTTATTTATCCAAATCAACCTCTTTAATTGTAATGGTTAATTAATATCCTTTCAATTATTATCCATCTGATTTAAATGTAATTATCCTTCTCACTTTCTTTGGTAATTGTTTTTGTCTGTTAATCATTTCAATCAAAAACGGTTAATCATTTAATGTCATTAGAGTTCAGAAACAATTTGATCAGAGGATCATGTTAATCAATCTCAGAATCGTGTTCCAATTATCAACCATGAGACGTCAATCTAACAATTTGCACCAGAAAGAATTTGTAAATAGTAATTAACCAAATTAATTAGGATCATTATGTTAATTTGCTTGAATTCAACCTTTAGACAATCAACAGGTGAATTAAGATGAACAATTGAAGAATTGAAAATCCTAATTGAATCAGTTGAGAGAAAGAGAAAAAAAAATTGTATTTAGTTAAATTGTCGATACAAAATCAATCACAATTTACCTTGTTTTCCACAATTAACTATGGTTAATTTACCATCTAAAGATGAACCTCGATTCAAATTGCGACTTTTAATTTGTTTATGTTCAACTATGGTTCACTTTACACTTAGTGCTAACAGAGTGGCCTTAACAATATCATTCGAGGCGATGTTAAGTCCAGAACCAGATGAGACCATATCAACATCACCCGTTAATTCAAGCCAACGAATAGAAAAGACAACAATTAGTAAATTGTCATCATCAGACCATCACAAGAAAGATGACCCGAAATCATTGAAACAATTGAATGTTAACAAGACCGTTGATCTTAATCAAACCAAAACAAATCCATATAAAGTTGAATTGACCGAAAGTACCAAGGATCGATTTTTCGAGATCATTTTTTTCGGTGGCCTTATTTCCCCGATACCAACGGGTCGACTTGCCGATAAATATGGTCCAAAATTGGTCGTTACCATTTTACTTTTAATCAATGCAGTTGTAATGTCTTTATTTCCGATGGTCGCTAGTTGGTCAATCTATTGTGCCGCTGCTTTAATGTTTCTGAAAGGAGCGGGTACAAGTCCACTTTTCTCGTGCTCCTCAGTATTATGTGCACATTGGTGTCCCAAATATGAGAAGACGATGTATGTTTCAACGGTAGCCACGGGCTCCATGATGGCCATTATAGCAGCTAACCCACTGTCGGGTTTTCTTTGCTCCCTTGATTTCCTTGGTGGTTGGCCGCTGTGCTTTTACCTTATGGGCTCTATTAATATCTTGGTGGTCTGTATTTGGCTTTTAATAGTAACCAACGATCCAGCTGAACATCCATTGATATCACCAGCTGAAAAAGAGCTTGTATTAAATGAGAGAACTCCAATCGATGAATTTAATGTAAGTTCGTCCAATCGAAACTGAACTATTTCAGATTACTAGAGAATTGATCTTTTCCTCCTTTTAGACAAAATCGCCTCCGTACCTCAAAATGCTCACTTGTGGACCTTTTTGGGCCTTAATTGTGGCTCACTTCGCTTCTTCTTGGTTTAGTACATTAATCTCTCATCAAGTTCCAGATTATTTCAAGACAGTTCTCCATGTTTCAATGACAGAGGTAAATAATCAACCCAATCAATTGAGAACAATTAATTTTCTTTCTCTCTCTCATTAGGATGGTATTTACTCAGGTTTACCTTATGTTGGCTCAGCGATTTGTTTATCAATTTTCAGTTTCATTATTGATAAACTGCGTGCCAATGGTAAATTGTCAACTACAGCAATCAGAAAGATATCTGCCGACATAGGTGAGTTAATTAGGTTGATTGAAAAATCTACAAAAAGGTTAATTGATTGTATTATGTTGTTGTTTTTTTCTGTCTGCAGGTTTCATTTTTGCTCCTGCATTTATGATTCTATCAACGTTTTTCGGTAAAAATTTGATAGCGGTTTTAGCCTGTGTTTGTGCCGCTAAGGCGATGGCCGCTGCTCAATTTGCTGGGATTTACAGTGTCCATTTAGATATTGCACCTTCTTATGTTGGCTCTTTAGCAGGTATAATTGAAACTGTTCAAAATGGTGCTTCAATGGCCATGAATCACGCGACGTTATCTCTAATCGGTGATCAGCCGACTCTTCACCACTGGTCAAATCTATTTCTTGCCACTGCGGTTGTTTGTATCATTGGAACTCATTATTTTGCACTTTTAGGCTCATCTAAACTTCAACCTTGGGATCCAACCTTTAAATCAGAGGAAAAGGCAATTGAAGATGATCAAAATGGTGATATGTCCTATCCAACCATTTTCGATCCCGAAATTTACGTTGTCGATGCGAGATCAGGTTCAATTATCCGAAAACATTCAATATCTGCGGCTAGTTTTGACATAGTTCACCCAAACTAAATTGTAAATATCGACAACAATTAATCAACACTCAAAGAAAACAATAATCATCAATGGATTTATCGATCATTGACAAGAATTATTCTCAAATAATTATCATGTTGAATGAAAGACAATCCAAAATAAAATGTCCAACCTGTTAATCCTCAATCAATCAACAGGATTACCATTTAAATGATATAATTTAAATGTCATATTTTCATTAAAAGTTGATAAAAACAATAATAAAATCTCATTAACAAAAATTAATCACCATCTTAATCTAAATCGTGAATTGATTTCATGGAGTCAACATTGAACAATTTACAATATTCAAATTTTTCATTCGATTATATTGATTCAATTGGCCAGATCTTAATTTTAAATAAATGATTGGATTGATTAACCATTAGAACAACAAAAATAAGCTGGATACCTACAGTTACATGGATTCGAAATTGATAATTAACAATATTAACATTGATCTTAAATAATCTTCCATTTTTCTTTAAGATGGAAAATCATCAACAATCAATCAAATTATAAGATTAATTGGTTAAAATGTCTGAATTAACTAACGTGCCTTCAAGTATAGCCGACAAAGAACATGTCACTCGAAAAAGATCATCATGTTTTCATCTTCGAATGTTACAATTTATAAGCTTTCGACAATTTTTCCTCTATTTATTATTGTTTAATGTTCTATTATTAATTATTACTTTAATTTCTAGAGGTAAGTTTATAGTAAAGTGTGTTGATCAACTAATATAATTACCAAATATTATTTGTTGTTTAGGAGTAATTAATCCGGAGGAAATGGAAAATACTGAAATTTGTAATACTTCAAAGTGTCTTGAAGCAGGTATAAAATTTATCGATCGATTTATTAATCGACTAGTGATTGTTAATTGTTATTCTTTTGATTTACTAGCACAAAGTTTACTCAATCAAATTGACGAATCAGTATCACCATGTGATGATTTTTATCGGTTTGCCTGTGGGGGAATGGATAATGAATATACTGTTTTACCGGAAGGATTTTCTTCTAATGCAAGAGTACCTATTGAAATGGTTGAAATTCAAAAAAGAGTCAAAAGTAATGTGGAAACAATTGATAATAGTTATGTAATTTATTAATTGTTACAATAATCAATCTTAATTGTAGATTTAATGAATGGCCTGAGGGATCGAGATCTTTATCCTGGTGGTTATCAAAGAAAAATGAGAGACTTTTATAATCTTTGTCAACAAGGTAAGAAGGAAAAAAAGATCGACTGAACAATGACCAAATAGTCGACGATTATTAATAATAATTTTCTTCAATATTTCATTTATTTAATTCTTTTTTTGCTACACCAGCTCGTAGTCGCAATAGAAATTTGTTTGTATTTATGAGAATGATTCAACAATTGGGTGGATGGCCAATTCTACGAGGAGCTGGATGGAATGAAGAATCTTTCAGCTTAACCGATATTCTGATAGAAATGAGAAGATTAGGATTATCTTACGATGTATTATTCCCAATCCGTCTTAGACATTTAGCTCCCAACGATGATGTCCATCAAGTTACGGTAAGTGTCACTTTCATCGTATTCACTCATCATGGATAATAATTCTATCTCGAACCTCTTCTCTTTCTCTCTCTAAATTATCAATAGATATTTAATGAGGAGACAAATTTAAAAAATTTTTACAATCGTTATCAAGACTCTATTAATAGAACCTCACTTTACGCGAATTTAAGCCGATCTGCCTTTGAACGTTTGGGACACACAAATGACACATTTGATGCTATGCGAAATGCGATGAACTTTGGTAGATCGTTAGCAAGAGTAAAGTATTTTACGAAAATTATTTGCTCTCTGAGTAGTCATGATAATATTGTTCATGTTCAAAGATTCCAGGTTACCAGAGTTCCATGTTTCTCAGCCTGAGAAGTCTTGATTACACTTATCCTTTCCTGAATTGGACGAAATATTTTATTAATGTGTTGCAACCGCTGAATTTGGATCCGAATAATTTTTATGTTCATTTCTCACCTACTCATTTATACGGATTGGCAGATCTATTAAGAACAACGAATAACAGGTAAATACTATTATATTGCGAAGGAATAAAAGTTGAAAAATGAATAGTTTTCGGAATTAGTGTAATTATTTTTTCTCTTCCAATGTTTTTGTCAGTGTTCTTGCAAATTACATTATGTTTTCAGTTTTCTTGGAATCAGTTCCATATTTTGGCGAGAATTGGTCACAGTGGATAAGGGAATTCAACGATAATCCAAGTTCGCTTAAATTGTCATTATATACAAATGACGAAGATACATGTATTAGATTTCTCATAGATAAATTTAAAATTGGGATTGGATCTCTTTATGCTCTTTCATGGGCAAATACAAATAATAATAAAATACTTAAATTAGTAAGTATCGAATCTCCAATTTTTAAATTTTCTAAAATTGAATAGTGATTCTCTCATTCTCTCTTTATTCATTATTGTTTATTAGACTTCAAATGTATTCCAATTTTTACGTTTATCCTTCGAGGATTTGATACACCAATCTGAATGGTTGAACGAAAATACGACCATTCGTGTAATTGATAAAGTGAATAAAATGAAAGTAATGGTTGGATATCCGGAAGAGCTTTTAAATATTGAGAAAGTTGATAAGTTCTATGAAAAGGTAAGTTCTAATGGTCATTTGTAAGTGGAAATTTACCGTTATATTAATAAGAATATCTCTTTCTAATTAACCCATTTATTAGTTAACTATTGATAACTCTACAAGTTTTTATGAGATTGATTTGTATTTGAAACGGCTTGGAATTAATTTGCAATTTTTTGCTTTAACTGTACGAGGAGACAGAAAAATGTAAGAATTTCATTTTTATTTTCACCGTTGATTGATTATTCATTAGAAAACAATTAATTAAGTTAAATCACTTCAAATTAGACCATGGTACCTTTTTCATATAATAGATGTGAATGCTTACTATCATACATTAAATAATGAAATCTCCATATTATTGGGTTTTATTGAAGCGAGCCGAGCTAGTCCCGATTCTCCCATGTAAGCCAATTACTGAGTAAATGTTGAAAAAGAATTGAAAAATTGATGACTTGATTTTACTTGAAAGTAATTCTCTTTCTATTATTTTAGGTATATTAACTTTGGTGGAATGGGTTCGATTACCGGCCATGAAATTCAACATGGTTTCTGTCTGACTACTCATCTTCTTGAGGAAGAAAAAAGAATTTTCAATTTTTCCGATGAAGTTCAAAAAATAGTCGATGAAAGAAGAGAGTGTATAGTTAATCGTTATAACAATTACGCTACAACTACAGTTAGAGAAGGACAAGTTGTAACCTTATGGGTAATTAGAAAGTTAATTGTGTTTCTACAAATTAATAGATTTCAATTGTAACCTTGATCACTTTTTCTTGTTTATATTACTGTTATCATCTGATTATTGATAAAGTTCAGAAGTGAGCGTTCATTTTGTGAAAACTTTTCCGATCGAGCTGGACTCAAGTTATCATATATGGTTAGAACTTTTTTGTTGTTTTTATTAGAGATTTCAATCCATTCGATTTATAATGTTTTTCTTTAATTCTATTGATTGTCTTTCTACTCAGGCTTATAAAAAGTACATCTCTTTACATGGTGAAGATAAACTGTTACCACGATTAACTCATTATACTAGAGATCAGTTGTTTCTAATACGAGCAGCGGGAGTAAGTTAATTAAAATAATCAATTGTTTGTAATACTTTTTGTCAACTTTTACTTTCTACTTTTTGTTTTGACTTTCAAGAACCATTGTGGTAAATATGAACACGGATATTATAGTTCATTTTTTGAGCGCAATACAACTACTCATCCACCGGGAAATCTCAGGTTAATGAACATAAATTTCAATCAATTTATTTTTCAGAAATTTATTAATCTCAATCATTCAGTAATAAAGTTAGTTTTCATCTTTGTTTTCTCTACAGAATTGATGGATTTTCCAAAGATTTACCTGAGGTTTCGAGGATATTCAATTGTAAACCAGATGACCCAATCAATAGAAGTGGAAAATGTCTTACTTGGGAGTAATTATTATCTAAATTTAATCAAGAAGTGACATTAATCACCATTCAAATGTAAAATCTGCCACGAGAAGAATTGATTCAATTACATTCAATATCTGCGGCTAGTTTTGACATAGTTCACCCAAACTAAATTGTAAATATCGACAACAATTAATCAACAGGATTACCATTTAAATGATATAATTTAAATGTCATATTTTCGTTAAAAGTTGATAAAAAACAATAATAAAATCTCATTAACAAAAATTAATCACCATCTTAATCTAAATCGTGAATTGATTTCATGGAGTCAACATTGAACAATTTACAATATTCAAATTTTTCATTCGATTATATTGATTCAATTGGCCAGATCTTAATTTTAAATAAATGATTGGATTGATTAACCATTAGAACAACAAAAATAAGCTGGATACCTACAGTTACATGGATTCGAAATTGATAATTAACAATATTAACATTGATCTTAAATAATCTTCCATTTTTCTTTAAGATGGAAAATCATCAACAATCAATCAAATTATAAGATTAATTGGTTAAAATGTCTGAATCACCTAATGTGCCTCTCGGTAAAAACCACAAAGAAAATGTCTCTCGAAAAAGATCATTTTTTCATCTTCGAATTTTCAATTTTACAAGATCTCCAAAATTTCGCTTCTATTTATATTTGTCAATTATTCTATATTTAATTCTATTATTAATTGTTATTTTAATTGATAAAAGTAAGTTTATAGTAAAGTGTGTTGGTAGACACACAATTAATAATATTATTTGTTGTTTAGGAGTAATTAATCCGGAGGAAATGGAAAATACTGAAATTTGTAATACTTCAAAGTGTCTTGAAGCAGGTATAAAATTTATCGATCGATTTATTAATCGACTAGTGATTGTTAATTGTTATTCTTTTGATTTATTAGCACAAAGTTTACTTGATCAAATTGACGAATCAGTATCACCATGTGATGATTTTTATCGGTTTGCCTGTGGGGGAATGGATAATGAATATACTGTTTTACCGAAAGGATTTTCTTCTAATGCAGAGGATTATTTGAAACGTTGAAATTCAAGAAAGGATCAAAAGTAATGGAAACAATTGATAATAGTCATGTAATTTATTAATTGTTACAATAATCAATCTTAATTGTAGATTTATTGAATGGCCTGAGGGATCGAGATCTTTATCCTGGTGGTTATCAAAGAAAAATGAGAGACTATTATAATCTTTGTCAACAAGGTAAGAAGGAAAAAAAGACCAACTAAACAAATGTGTGACAATACTCATATTTCATGTCCATTTTACTTTAATTAAGAGCCAGTACGTCGCGATTATCCAAGTTTGTCATTATATATGAGAGTCATTCAACAATTGGGTGGATGGCCAGTTCTACAAGGAGCTGGATGGAATGAAGAATCTTTTAGCTTAACTGATATTCTGATAGAAATGAGAAGATTAGGATTACCTTACGATGTATTATTCGAATCGCACCTATTCGTGTGATTCCAGAAAGTGATATAATTATTACTTTGGTAAATATCACTTCCATCGCATTTCCTCATCATGGATACTGATTGAAACTCTCTCTCTCTCTCTTTCCCTCTCTAAATTAGATAACTAATAAAATGACAAATCTAGAAGATTTTTACAGACGTATGGACAATGTGACCATGTACGAATACGTGGAAGTAATTCATAATGCCATCCAACTTTTGAGACGAACTGGCCGATTTGATGGTCGAAATGAGTTGAGTGCTTCAATAGAGTTTGGTAGATCGTTAACAATGGTAAAGTATTTTACGAAAATTATTTGCTCTTTGAGTAGTCTTGATAACATTTTCATGTTCAAAGATTCCAGTTGACCAGGACTACAAAGCTCTTAACCTGACAACTCTTGATTCAAATTATCCTTTCCTGAATTGGACCAAATATTTTATTAATCTAGTACAACCGCATAAATTGGATTCCAATAAATTTTATGTTCATTTCTCACCTATTTATTTGAAAGGATTGAATGATACATTAATTACAACTAATAAGAGGTAAATTAGAATATTCTATTGGATTGGAAGATTAAAATGGGATAAGTTTCACAATTGGAGTAAAATTTATTTTATTTTCCGATATTTTTGCCAGAACTCTTGCCAACTACATTATGTTTTCAGTTTTCTTGGAATCAGTTCCATATTTTGGCGAGAATTGGTCACAGTGGATAAGGGAATTCAACGATAATCCAAGTTCGCTTGAATTGTCATTAGTTCGAAATGACGAAGATGCATGTAGTAGATTTCTCAGCGAAAGATTTGCAACTGGGATTGGATCTCTTTATGCTCTTTCATGGGCAAATACAAATAATAATAAAATACTTAAATTAGTAAGTATCGAACATCCAATTTTTAAATTTTCTAAAATTGAATAGTGATTCTCTCATTCTCTCTTTATTCATTATTGTTTTTAGATTTCAAATATGTTCAAATTTTTCCGTTTATCCTTCGAGGATTTGATACACCAATCTGAATGGTTGGACGAAAATACGACCATTCGTGTAATTGATAAAATGCATAAAATGAAAGTAATGGTTGGATATCAGGAAGAGTATTTGAATATTGAGAAAGTTGATGAGTTCTATGAAAAGGTAAGTTCTAATAGTCATTTGTAAGTGGAATTTACCGTTATATTAATAAGAATATCTCTTTCTAATTAACCCATTTATTAGTTAACTATTAATAGCTCTACAAGTTTTTATGAGATTGATTTTGCTTTGAAACGGCGTCAAGCTGATTTGAAATTTGACTTGTTAGCTATTCGAGGAAATTCAAAGGTGTAAGAATTTTCTTTTCATTTTCTTTGCGTTAATTTATCATTTATTAGAAAACAATTAATTAAATTTAATCACTTCAAATTAGACAATGGTACACTTATCCAATTACAGAAGTGAATGCTTATTATTTACCATTCGATAATCACATTTACATATTTTTGGGCTACATTGAAGCTGTCGAACCTGATCCCGATTATCCCATGTAAGTCCAATTATTTAGCTTCAAACTCTATCATTATAATGGACTATCAAACCAGAAAAAATATCTCTATGAATTTTGATGTTGGTGTACGAGAAATTTTGTCAAGTGTCAATATATGAAATTAATTGTCTTCCTATTGTAGGTACATTAACTTTGGCGGATTAGGTTGGACTATGGGCCATGAAATTCATCATGGTTTCTGTTTGGAGTCTCGTGCAACACTAAACGATTTTTTGTTCACCAATGATACGAAACGCATTGTGGGTGAAAGAAGAGAGTGTATGATTGATCGTTATAACAATTACTCTACAACTACATATCGAGAAGGACGAGTTGTAACCTTACGGGTAATTAGAAAGTTAATTGTGTTTCTACAAATCAATAGATTTCGATTGTAACCTTGATCACTTTTTCTTATTTATATTATTATTATCATTTGATCGTTGATCAAGTACAATAGTGAGCGTTCATTTTGTGAAAGCTTTTCCGATCAAGGTGGACTCAAGTTAGCATATATGGTGAGAACTTTTTTGTTGTTTTTATTTAATTCTATTGATTGTCTTTCCATTCAGGCTTATAAAAAGTACATCTCTTTACATGGTGAAGATAAACTATTACCACGATTAACTAATTATACTAGAGATCAGTTGTTTCTAATACGAGCAGCGGGAGTAAGTAAATTAAAATAATCAATTGTTTGTAATACTTTTTGTCAACTTTTACTTTCTACTTTTTGTGTTTGACTTTCAAGAACCATTGTGGTAAATATGAACACGGATATTATAGTTCATTTTTTGGTACCTATACAATTACTCATCCACCGTCAAATCTCAGGTTAATGAATATAAATTTCAATTGATTGAATAGATTTGAGAAATTTATTAATCTCAATCATTCAGTAATAACGTTTGTTTTGTATTTTGTTTTTCACTACAGAGTTGATGGAGTTTCCAAAGATTTACCTGAGGTTTCCAGGATATTCAATTGTAAACCAGATGATCCAATCAATAGAAGCAAAAAATGTCTTACTTGGGGCTAATTGTTATTATCTTAATTTAATTGCAAAGAAAGTGAATTGGTTATCATTGAGTTGTAAAATTTGGACCGAGAATAAAACAATTAACTGTCGACAAACTTGTGACAATTTCGAGTTTAGTTTCGATAAATATTCAACAGATGGAGCTCGTTATTCTTTAATTGGTTAATTTTTCGAGTCGTTGATTGAAATAAACTTGAACAATTAAGATTAATTAATTGTTTCTTTATTATGATATCAATTTTTTTTACGCTTTTCTACTTGATACATTCAATTCATGGCTGTTAAGTTAATCAGTTGATTGAAACAATTTTTCTCTATTTTATTTTTACTTTATTACAATAACTCTTATCGTCCAAATTTTGTTTCGACTTTTGTTTGAACATTTTTGTTAATTGTTTTCTCTGATTTCAAGAAATTAAAAGTGATTAAAATTTTTCTAAATTGGACTTAATTGTTTGAGTGAATTTGTTTAATCAACAACAATGTCTATTAATTCAACTAAAAGGAAACATATTATCCCAACAATTTATACATTCGATGTTGATGATTACGATGATACCGAGGAGATGGTAAGTAATTGGTTAATTGTTGATTAAACTTTCATCTAAATGTAAATCTTTTATCTCTTATTCACTTGGTGATTAATTTGAGTTTTAATTGTTACAATTAGAGATATGAATTGAAGACACCTAAATGTGGCTATCTTAATGTCTATGTACAAGGAGATCTTAATCAAGTTACATTAACTACTCCAGTTTTTTTAACTGTTCATGATGTTGGAACTAATCGTGAGTATTAATTGTTAACAATTAAAGTTAATTTTCTGTGTCTCAAACAAAAACCTATTCATTAAGGGAAACACGAACAATTAATTGCCATAATTAACAAGTTGTTTGTTTTCTAATTCAAACTAATTACATACATTTATTATTATTATCCCAATCAAGTTAATTGTAACCAATTAATCAAGATGACTTAATTTGATTAGTTTATTATTATTAAGAAAATGTCAATCATTTAATAGCAAACAAATAAACAAAAAGGGGAAACAATTAAATTTCATTGTCAACAGAATAGTTTACAAGTGCTCTCACAATTAACAGTAATTAAGTTAATCAATTCCAATACTAGAGCCAACCAATACAATTATGAATACAATCAATGATTTTTTGTATTAGTTTATTTTATTGATAAAAAAAACGTAAGTTTGAAACAATTAGTTGATCAAGTTAATCAATTCAATTGAGTCAATTGGTTTCGATTTTGTTAATTGTTACAATTAATTATATAACCTGAGAAATTAAGAGTCATGATGATTGATTTTTTTTCACCAAAAAAAGATGAAGAATAAAAATAATATTGATTAAGATGAAAGTTAATTTTGGTAACATGATCAATCAGTTCTCAATGATTACGATTACAATACTTATATAATTATGATGCAATGATTGATAATTAACTTTAATTGTCATGATTAATAGACACCGAGTGGCATAAATTGGTTGAACATACTTGCATGGGTAAGCTGAAGGCTCGGTCAGTCTGGATTCATGTTGAGGTTCCTGGTCAAGAGTTTGATTCAGCTGACCTTTCAGATGAATATCAATTCCCATCATTACAAGAAATAAGTGAAGATATTCCGGTGATTCTTAATTTCTTCAAGTGAGTTTAATGAACAATTAAAACAGTCCAATTGTTAATTAAAACTCTTTTTTTTCCTTTAATTGCATTTTCTATCTAAATTACTTTTAATTGGCCTACAATTAAATCAACTTTCTCTCTTGGACAATTAACTTGATCATCATCATTAGGATGAAATATTGTGTTGCCATTGGTGAAGGTGCTGGAGCCAATATAATTGCTAGATTTGCAGTAAGTATCTAACAATTAACTTTAATTGTTATCTACTCATTGACAGTCATCAAGATTGTTTTAATGAGTTAAACATTTAAATCTAATGATAATAACACATCAATCAAATTAGTTTTAATCTTTAAACCTTGATTATTATTACATTTGATGATTAAGGAGAAATAAAATCAATCAATGGTAACAATTAACTAATTTCTATTCATTAATAATAATAATTAGATGAATAATCCTGATTCAGTTCTTGGAGTTGTTTTAATTCATTGTCGTCCATCGGTAAGTAATTTAATTGTTTACAATTAAACTCAATTCTATTCAATTAAGTTAACATAATCCATTGAAATTAATCAACAACAACAATAACAACAAAAGTTTATAACAATTAAGTTAATCATTTGATAGCTAAACTGTTTCCGTTTGATTTAATCAAAAACAAACCCTTTTACTTTTTTTTACACAAGGTTGCAACAATTTAATCTCAATCAAATTATCATTAAACCAAAGAGTAATTTAATTAACGTCATCAACAATTAACCAACTGATTTACATGATTTAATCCTAATCACTGACAGTTGAAGATGTGTAAGCAAATAATAGTTAACTGGAAATGGAAATGATTAAATTGATTGTTTCGTTTACTTTTTAAAACCCTAAACTAATCATAGTGATTATTTAATCAACTTACAACCATTTATCTTAATTGTTAACAATTTAGGCGGCTGATAATAAGGAAAACAGGCAAACAATTACCAAGAAAACACTTCGCAAGAAATTACAACGACGTATCAATGGTAAAAATGTTAAACGTTATCAAGAAGTTTATTTAAGGTAATTAACAATTAATCTATCAAATCATAGTGGAAATCAATCAACAATTAACAATCAGTAACCATGAGAAAATTGTTCAATAATAATTAGCAAGATAAACAAAATCAATGGAGAGTTTTTTTTGTATTTTAATTATCTATTGATAATCAGTTGATTGTGATTGTGATTTAGTACAGAACCAGTTTTAAAGGAGCAATTAAATTTTACCTTCAACAAAAATTAATTGAATAACTTAATTATGAATAAGACAAAAATATACTGATCACCATCAATCAACTAAACAAACAATTTATATTAACACAATTTAATCAAAGTCCCGAAGGTAAATTGTAATGATCAACATTAATGATCACTATGTGTTTGTGTTTTATTAACTGTAACAATGTAGCTCCTTAATTGTTTCCTGATCATGATACAAATTGATCTTAACCTTTAACTCCCAATTGACTAATTGCTCAATGAACAATTAGATTTACAAAAGAGGCTAAAGGTTAATAATCAATAAGAAAAGAAATTGATTACAATCAGTTTGTAACAATTTAGCTTTTAGTTGATTTTCTCGATTCAGATGGATATTATTTTTTGTTTTTCCTTTCGATTCGTAATCGATTTTATTTAGTCCCAAAACCAAACAATTAGTTGATAAAATATGTTGATTCGAATCAATAGAGAAGAAGAAAAATTGATTTCTAATCATGATAATGATTGGAAAGTGTTACAGTTTCATTGGGAAAAGAAAACACAATCAATTAGATCAATACAATAAGATGGAAATCAAATGTTGATTCAAAAAAGTGCGAAAAGTCAATTAGCAAGTAGCTCCATCTGATGATAGAATTTGAAAAATCTCGAACATTTTTTAATTCGAGCAATTGATATTCTAGTAATTATTATTAATATTTTCTCCCTTTTCTAAAGTCGAACTGATATTTCGAGCCAATTAAAGGAGAAATTAAAAGTTGATGCTCTTGTGGTTACTGGATCTCGATCGCAACTCGTTCAAGCCTCGAATTTACTTCAATCTCTTTTAGAACCTAAAACAACCACCATGGTAAAAATCGATGATTGTTGCGATGTTTTCATAGAATCTCCTGAAACTTTTGCCTACAATTTACTTCTTTTCTGCCAAGGACTCGGCCTATGTAAGTATTTTACTATTAATACATAACAACAATTAACTTAACAATCATTAACCACCCCGAATATAACCATTATTAACATGATATGATTGATTCAATGTCTCGAACTATCGATTTAGAACAGTTTTCCTTACCCTCTGTTCATCTATTCATCGAGAAAGAAAATTTTACTAAATTCTCAGTACCTTTTGTCATCATTATCATCTAATGATCTCTGTTATTATAATAATAATAATAATAATCACCAGAGACAATTAATTGATTTACCAGAGAAAGAAAATAAAAAAAAACTAATCAATAATCAAGTGAAAAAAGATACAATTATTGATTGATGAACATTTTTAATTGTCGATTTACTCTCTTGATTTAGTTTCAGCTCTTCCAATGTCACGACATGGATCAATTTGTGCATAAATCAACCAACTAACATCAACACCATAATAACAACAATTAAAAACCTAATCAACCTTTAACCCAACACCTTAACCAATATAATCAATTGGAGAATCAATTAATCAACTGTTAATCAAAATCATACGACATACACACACAATGAATATGAAAAAGTTAATTCTCATCGTAATCAATGTAACATGAAAATTATATTAACCACTATTAAAGTATTAACATTATATTGAACGATTATTTTCTCGATTGATTTTATTTTCTTATATATTTATTTATATAAATAAATAAATATACTCTTGACGATTAAGATGTAATCACAATTTATTGATCATGAATCAATTGAAACCAATCGGTTCATTAACTCGTAGAAATGAGCCTCCCATGAAATCGATGAACAGTTGATTGACAATTTAAAGTTAAATAGTGAAAAGTAATTTCCAAATAAAAGGAAAAACTTAAGCTAAAAACCTCAAGAACAATTTTCATCACCAATCAACTGTATAAGAAAACAATTTATCTTCCCGGTGGGTTTAATCATCCACCATCAAAAGGTTCCAATCGCAAAAATCACTATTAATCTAATGAAAGAATGGGAGAGAGAGATGATGATGATGATGAAATAAAGGATTATCCTTTTTCATCATTTATTGGAGCTTTAATCTCATCTGAACTTTTCTCTCTCTCTCTCTCAATCTCTGTTATAATTTTCAGTTTTGTTCATAATATTTAAGTGAACCAAGTGATCCGTTGATTGTTGTTGATTGCTGGTAAATTATGTTTTCTTTTTGAAAACTTTTACCATGAAGAGAAAAACCTTGAGTAGTTGAATCTTGATTGGTAGAGATTCAATCCCAAAGAAACATTATTGTAACGCTGAGTATTCACAACGAAAAAGTCGGCAGAGAGAGAGAGAGAGAGAGAGCTCGAATAATGAAATAGATCGAATAGAATTTAATTTGAACTCGAAAAGCTTTCGATATAACCATGTTTGTTTTTGTTTCTTGATTTATCGACTTACCAGAAAAGAAGATGATAACGATGATTGGAATGATAAACACGGATGGTGAGAAAATGGTTACAAGATGATGTTTGTAAGAAAAAGGGAGAAGAGGATAAGGATGTTCAGATGGAACTAGAAAAAAAAGTTTAGAAAATCCAAAGAAAGCAAGTGAAAGTTACCATGATTCAGAAAAGACTCAGAAACTTATCAAAGTAAATGGATAAACATTTCCACACTTTTGTTTTGCTTTCTTTTCCTTTTTTTATTTGGTCATTGGCAAGATTTATCTGACCAGTTCATTGATAATGATGATGATGATGATGGCGGTGTTTACAGAGTGTAGGATGATGCGTTTCACTTCAATTACAAGTTTCTCTCTCTCTCTCTCTCTCTCTCTCTCTCTCTCTCTCTCTCTCAGTCTCTCTCTCTCTGTTGACATGAAGTCTTATCATGAAGAGGAGACATTTTCATCATACTTATACTTTTTCTGCCTCATTTCTGAAAAATACTTACTTGTTTAAGTAATAATATTATCATGACTTATCATCATGAACAACAACAACAACAACAGCTCATTAGTTACAATCGCCATTCACTAGTAATAGTTGAGTTCATCCCATGAAATTTGTTACATATGAGAAAAAAATGTTATAATGTTGAATATGTGGTTTATAAGAATCAGAAAATGTGAGGATCTGAAACTGAATTTCAATATTATCGAATCAGAAATTTACAATCTACAATCTGGATTTTTTCTCACTTCCTTTTTCCTCTATTAACATTTTCCAACTCAACTGAGATTCTGTTTCCTTTCCACTTGCATGGTTCCCTAAGTTTACATGATCTCATCATGTTTATTACACTTTCATCAAGAGATAATTCAAAATATTCATGTCACTCTAAGGTGAAGATTCAAAGTGTCACCGTGAAACTTTATCACTATTCTAATGATATCAATATATTCACGAGATTGGATTAGGATCTGTTGTTGAACTTTTATCGAGCCTTGAATCTCAATTCACTCTCTTTAAATCCTTCCCTAAATATCAACAACATGATGAAATAAAGATCACCTTCAAAATCATGATAGATTCATGGGGTTATTACTTGAATGATTCCTTCAATTTCATCGAGTTTAAACTGTTCCTTTTCCACAGAAATTGTTTTCCAATCAGAATTCATATTCTCATGATACAACTTCTGAATGAAATTTTTTCTTCACTTTATTTCTCATGAAAAATACCAATTTTTTTCGACGAAAAAAGTTTCTATCAACTTTTGATTGGATTGATTATCTTTTCTTATTTCAACAAGATTAATCTTTTCATCTTGTTCCATTCATCAATAAGTATCTAAATTCATGATATTGATGTTTCCATGAAGATTATTACAATTAACTAAATGGTTATCAAGTGATTTATCAATAATCTATCAAATTGTATCAATCGACAATACGACAATTGGACTGATATTGTTTCAACCGATTGGGTGATAAATTGAATCATGGAAACAATTGAATTTTGTCAGAACTTTTTTTCTCTCTCTCTCTCTCTCATCACATTTCTTTTGGAGTAACAGTTACAATCTCTGAGTAAACAGTTAGAATAACAATCAAATCAAATAATTCATTTGATTATCAACAAAGAGATTATTAAATTATCATCGGAAGACAATAAAAACCAGAAGAAACTGTCCATTGGTCACTTTTAAACTCCTCTCATAATAAAAACATTTTATTGATAAAAAAATCTTTAAATACACTCAATGTTTATTCACTGTGATGGTCAGTTAATAAAACAGTTAACCTTTCAATAGATGCAAATGAACCTGAGGGATTAACATGATAATGGTCATTCGGAGGTGTTCATTTGATTCAGATTCTATTATTATTATTATTATTGTTATCATAGTCAATTGTACATCTTTAGATTAACCAGAATCATTTGTTTGATGGTCAAGTGAACGATGACCTTCAGATTGTTATCATTACATCAATATGTTTGCTTGTTGTTATTATTATTTTGGTTCCTTTCCTCGCATTCAATTGTTATTTTAGGTTAACAATCTGGTTGACAATTAAATCGATAGCAATCAAAGACAATTGACCACAATTTAATCTAATTGCATGTTGACCCTTACAGTATACTCACAATGATAACCACTTAGAGAATCAAAAATTCATCATGAACATGGGATCAGAACTTTCCTCTTCTCCTTATTGTATTATTATTTTAACAATAACAATCATAATAAAACAATCAATTGATTATCATCATTTCCTTAATCATGATATTAAAGGGTTTGTCATCATCATGTTGATATTTTGAGTCTGAGTTACAAAAATTCAGACAATTATATTGACTCTTTCCTCTCTCTCTCTCATCACATTTCTTTTGGAGTAACAGTTACAATCTCTGAGTAAACAGTTAGAATAACAATCAAATCAAATAATTCATTTGATTATCAACAAAGAGATTATTAAATTATCATCGGAAGACAATAAAAACCAGAAGAAACTGTCCATTGGTCACTTTTAAACTCCTCTCATAATAAAAACATTTTATTGATAAAAAAATCTTTAAATACACTCAATGTTTATTCACTGTGATGGTCAGTTAATAAAACAGTTAACCTTTCAATAGATGCAAATGAACCTGAGGGATTAACATGATAATGGTCATTCGGAGGTGTTCATTTGATTCAGATTCTATTATTATTATTATTGTTATCATAGTCAATTGTACATCTTTAGATTAACCAGAATCATTTGTTTGATGGTCAAGTGAACGATGACCTTCAGATTGTTATCATTACATCAATATGTTTGCTTGTTGTTATTATTATTTTGGTTCCTTTCCTCGCATTCAATTGTTATTTTAGGTTAACAATCTGGTTGACAATTAAATCGATAGCAATCAAAGACAATTGACCACAATTTAATCTAATTGCATGTTGACCCTTACAGTATACTCACAATGATAACCACTTAGAGAATCAAAAATTCATCATGAACATGGGATCAGAACTTTCCTCTTCTCCTTATTGTATTATTATTTTAACAATAACAATCATAATAAAACAATCAATTGATTATCATCATTTCCTTAATCATGATATTAAAGGGTTTGTCATCATCATGTTGATATTTTCAGTCTGAGTTACAAAAATTCAGACAATTATATTGACTCTCTCTCTCTCTCTCTCATTCAGACACACAAAACCCTCTCATTGTAATGGTCATCATAACATATTATATGTAATAATACCAAAAAATACATTTAATCAAAGGATGATGATGATGATAGTGACGATAGAGGATGACAAAAGATGATAACCTGCTACCAGAGTTAAATTCAAGGCAAAAAAGCAGAAAAAAAATAATTCTCATCTCATATCTTATAAAAAATGGTCAAGGTTTAAATGGTCATCTCTTTGTTTTTTTGCTTCATAAGATAAGATTTATGATTGATGATTAACGACACAGGACAGATAAAGATGATACTGATGATGGTGATGATGAACAATATATAAACAAGTAGAAAATAAATTGATGGTTAATTTGATTAAGGTTGGTCAACGGAAATGGAATCAATTTAATCAAGCTTTTCATATTGGGAATTGGTCAGTGTTAATGTTATTATTAATACAATTCTAATCTTAGCTTAACTTATATAATCTTATATTTTTTTTTATACTGACCATCAAACTGTCCTCATATACTCATCTTTACCTATTCCTTTACATTCAAGATTAACTGACCAACTTAAATGTCCATCTATTTAATGGACGTTGGTCAAAAATGAGATGACCATTTTTCCAATGGTTATCATTACAGATCTAAAACCTTCCAATGATCATCAGGATGAAAAGATTAATTTATTTCCTCTAGGTTTTAATTGTTACTCTAACTAATTAACCATTTTTATGGTCATAATTAACCTGATAATTAGATAAACGTTTAATAGTTTGATTGATTATCATATTAATAAAATGGGAAACAGAAAATGACCTTCCAAGTGGACAATAGTTTTGGTTTTTTTTTTCTTCCTCGAAAAAATCTCTTGATTTAAACGATAATTAATTAACTCTCAGTGATTTTCATTAATCATTAGAAGTTTTTTTTCTCTTCTCTTTATGATCAAACTCATAAATGATTTAATTGCAAATGATTATGAGAACTATTAACAATTATCACCATCAATTGTTTTTATTAATTAAATTAATTAGGAATTTAAAATAGTTGATTTTCCCAGAATCAGAATAAAACTTCAATTCAGTTTGAACAAAAGTTCTGATTCAATCTAATGTTCACAATGGTGAATTTCATATGATTGAAGAGACGAAAAAAAAAATGTTAACCAGTTTTTCCAAATCTAATTTTCTGCTGATAATTAACTTTAATTACTCGGAATTTAATCAATTGTATGATAAAACTCATATCTCGAAGTATCGTAATGTTCATTATGTTGATAACGAAAACTTTAAGATAACAACAAGGAAATGATGAAAATGTGGATGATAAAATTGAGGGAAATTGAAAATTTCTCAAGATAAGTTAATATTTGATCAGATTTACGCCATTGGATAATAACATTACTTTGGTTTACTTATTGTAACGGAAATTGATGTTAAAACTTTTTCATCTTTCAATAAATTTCATCGTCATCATTTCCGTTTCCGTTGCAAAGGTAAAAATAAGATTTCCAACTGATAACACATCAAAAGTGGACTTAGACTTAGAAAAAAAATATTGACCTAATAATAATTATCACCATGACAATTTGTTTGTATCTCGATTTAAAAGATAACGATTAAATTGGCAAAATAAAAGCTCATTTCCGTTTCCATGGACTTGAAATGGTTCGATAATCAACAATTTCGATATGTTCGATTTATATATAAATCAATGATTTATTTTTCCCATTCACTTTATCGTTATTGTCATCATCAGAGTTATCATTAGATTGTTTTTTTCTTCTTCTTCTTCTCTTACCATGAGAATCTCTCCGTAATTCCTCAATGGTCATTGTGGTCAATTTTCAAAATGGATTTCAATTAATTACTGGTTACATCACCATTATGACGATCACCATAGTCACAATAATCCATCCACCTTGAAACATATTCTTATATATCTGAGTCATTTAATCAGCCATGTTGATGAAATTATGGAGATAAAGTTCATCCATTCAGAAGATATTATTGATTTGTTACTGGGATTATCATGATCAACAACAGGAGGAAAAACAATATTCATCAATTGTAGTCTGAATCTAGCGATTATCATTTACCATCAGCACGACGATTGTAATTGAATTAAATTTAATCACAGCAACTCATTGAATCTTAATTAGATTGTAACATCAATGAGAAATAATTAGTTCGATCAAGATGAATTTTTGATTAATGAGAGTAGGAGTTTGATTATCGTTGGATTAAGTTGGTTAAAGAGAAATCAGTCAATTGAAAGACAATCAGATTAGAACGAGAGTTCGAAAAAAAGTTCGAGAAATGATAACTACATTTTTTTTGTTCTATTTTCTAAAAGTTCGATAGTTTTTGTTTCTCCACCATGATAACCATGAGCTCTAAAGTTCCAAGGTTCTATTCTTGCCTTGATGATGATGTTTATACTATCATCTTGGTCGAAATGATTGATTAACTTGAGTCAATGAATTTGCTACTTCTAGTGAATGATTTAATTGTTGTCATTTAGAAAATGAAAACTATTAATAATGATGATCTTAATCATTATTATCAAATTATCATCTATTATTTATGATTATCTATTATGGATGAATGATATTATCATCATCATATTAATTGTTTTCTAAACTTTTTGAAAACTTCAATGGTTCTTGATAATGGTTATCAATTTACTCTTGTGATGATTGTCTGGTGAATTGAATGATGAAAATATAGTCAACAATTATTTAGTGTTAATCAATTTGCAACTTGTCAACTTACCTCAACATCCTCATCATCATCATCATGATAATTCATCATCAATGTTAATCTGTCACAATTCATGATCCTCTGAGATTTACAATTCAATTTCAATGTTGATTAGTATTTACACCTGAGTTTTTTTCCTCCTTCTCATTCCTTTTCTATTCAGAGGATTAATTTAATCTATTGAATTGCTTGTTATTAACTTTATTCGAGTTTTCAATTGGATTCTGAAGATATAATTGGTTTAGTAATTATATCAAGAATCACTGATTAAAACACTTTCCCAGGAGAAATTGAGAAAAGTTGTAAATTTCCATCTAGAACTAAGTCATTATATGTAATAGAAATGGAGAAGATGATTTTTGTTGGTCAATGTTAAAGAATCAACTTCTTGGTGATGAGTAAATACATGGGAAATTATTGGAAAAGGAAACGGAAGGGAAACTATGGAACAAATAAAAAAGGAAAAGAAATTTTTTCTGCCAAAAAGATAATTCTCAGAATGAATCATTTGCTATGGTCCAATTTCAGTAACTGTCCAATTGGATAAATAAAACTTGGATCATCTTTTATCTTCCTCATTTACCATCATCATCATGAGATCCATTATATCATCAACTAAATCTGAGAATTGATCATCTATTATTTTCCTAAAGTTGATGGATGAAAAGTTCACCATGAAAGTCAATCAGAGCTCTTGAACAATGAGTTTCAAGTGAGATTATCATGCTGATAAAAGTGAGATAATCTTAACATCTAATGATTTTCAAGCGATTCAAACAAATCTCGGAATTTTTATTCTTCTCTCTTCTAATTTTCTCACCTTTCTCTTATTATCATCCCAATTTCAGCCTTTTTCTTGATCGTTTTCTGGCCCTCCTTCCTCAGATCAAAGGTGATTTAATCTTGAGGCTTTAGAATATGATGAAAACACTCAGAATGATTCAGTAACTATCTTTATCTTCATGATAATGATGATGATCATCTTGTTGAATTTTCTTATTGAATATCCCTTGACAATCCAATTGCTTGTATCGTTGCACTGATTCGATATCATGTAAACTCAAGACCATTCATCAACCAGCTCAATTCTGGCTTATGAAAGATCATCAGCCTCAATAGAACCATCATCATCATGAGAAACGTTTATTATCATCATGAAAAATCACCCGGACCACAAGTCATCTGAATATCATGATCATGATCATAAGGAGTAAAGAGTAAAAAAGTTTATATTGAATCAACAGAAAAGTTCAATGTTAATGGAGCAAAAAGTCAATTTAATCACAGAAGTTTTTTTTCTCATCAATTTTCATATTCGACAGGAAAAAAAATGGCCGCTTTTACAGGATAACAGATAATAATAAGTAAGATATTTTTAAGACACTTTTACCTTGACGATCTTAATTATCATCTCATTGTTTTTCCTTCATAGGATTTACCGCCCACACGATAATGTACATCACGAACTCTAAGATCTATGGTCTAGTTTAAGATGGAGATAAGTTTTCATTCGAGTTTATTTGGTGAAATTAAACAGATAACAATTTCCTTGGAGTAACCAGATTTTCTTATTTTCAGAATGAATAACTGGTCAGTAGGAGATTTTAACTGAAGGGAGGTAAAAGTAGGTGAAAACTTTATTTTCACTTGTGAAGAGAATGAACTTTTCTCAGGTCACTTGTTATTCATATTGAACTTAATATGGGTTGACATTCATGTTTACTATCTGAAGAGGAGGTTTTGTCACATTCATTCATATAGAAAAGATTAAATCTTTATCATCATCGTCGTCATCTTTATCTTCCACTTTCCATGAATTCTGAACTTTCCTTGTTAACCCTCCAAGCTACTGTTAGAACTTTTTTATATATTATCTTCCTTTTATTCAAGACAAATAAACATTAATATTATTACTCGAGATGAAAATTACTGGAAAAAAACCAGAAAAAAATATATAAATTATATAAATAATATCCTCATCTTTATCATCCTTAAATTCATCTTCATCTGAGTGGTAAAATTATTAAGGTGAATGAAAAAAAAACTAAGTGTTTGTTGTAATATCTTCATGTCAAAGGTAATTTGAATCATTTCCGTTTCCCCATCATGTTTACATCAGAATCATTTACTAGTATTATTCCTGAGCAATTCAAGTAGGTTGGTCAGTAGTTTTATCGCTCTCTCTCACTTTTGACATTTAGGTGAACAATTTCCATGGATAACTCGAGTTCGAGGGTAAGGTTCGAGGTGGAAACTCATTAAAAAAAGTAAATCCAGTTAACTATTCTTGAAGAGTTCTCCATTTAATAGATGTACAGATTATCTGTGGCTCGAGTTTCGTCCACAAATCGTTGGTAATGAAGGTTATGAGATTCGTTTTCTTCTTCGTATTTATCATGTTATCGTTTTTTCTTTAAAAATAAAAATTTTTCGTTTTTTGGTAAACTTTTGATCTTAACTTTTAGGTACATTTTGTGATACTTTTCGTCGATTTTTTATACACATCCATTGGTTAGTTCGATTCGTTTGGTTGTTTGAAAAGTTGCCGTTGTAATTTCCTCCATTCGATTGGTTTCACCTTCTTTAGCTGATCCACTTCTGGTTCGACGTGATCCAGGTCCAGGTTTACATGAGATAACCTTTCGAAAAGCTTTACGAAAATTTTCCGATAGGAAAGCATAAAGGATCGGATTAATACAAGAATTAATGTAGGCCAGAACTTGTGATACTATGAGACTGACAAGTTTAAACTTGGAATCAGGTTCGAAAAGTCCTTGTGATCGAAGAGTTAGAACAATATGAATGGGTCCCCAACAGATAGCAAAAATAACTACAACAACAACCACCATTCTGGTAACTTTACGTTTATTTCGAACCGATCGACCAGTTCTAATATCATTATGCCAAAGGCGTTTTAACATGCAAACATAAAGTATAAAGGCAAGAGTTAATGGGATCGCATAAGATGATAGGAACACGGAAGGTGCGAAAATTTTATTATCAATTGAATTTACGTGGCACACGTGATCGTTTTCTTGTTCACTAGCTCGATGAACTTGATGAACTACCAGAGTGGGAAGACAGAGTAGTATTATTGCTATCCAAAGGAAGGTTATGGCTCGATAGGCATTGGCCTCAGTTCGGATGGAAAGAGAGGCAATGGGATGAACCACGGCCATAAAACGATCTAGTGACATTAGAACCAAAGTGTAAATGGAAGCATAAGCTGAAACATAGATTAAATATTGAACAATTCGACACCAAATGTCACCAAAAGGCCAATATGCTAAAGCGTAATCGGTTGCCGTAAAGGGAACACAGAAAACGATGAAAAGTAAATCAGCAACGGCGAGATTAAAGATGAGGACGTTTGTAGTTGATCTCATTTGGACATCCCAAAGGACTACGATGACCACAAGTGAATTACCTAAAAGTCCAATGATAACAATGATTGCAAATACAAGTGGAACAATGATTTGAACAACTTCCTCGACGTTTTGAAACGAACAAGCATCAAAAGATGAATAGATGGAAACATTGGTTGATGATGAATTGTTCTCACAATGATGTGAATTGTTGTTCGAAAATTGTCCAAAAGCAAGATCCTCAACAGAATTTAATGATTCTGAGGATACCACCGAAATGGAATCTGACTGGAGATGTCCAGTTGACGATAATGACGTTTGAAGAGACTGAAGGTGAAGTTGAATTCGAAGTTGATTGAAAGTGTCACTTATTCCTGCAGGTTCCATGATGATAATATGTAAATGAAGTAAATGAATGGGAAGATGATTTGGTAATTATAAGAATGTTGAGAATGTGTGAGAACGAGAGAGAGAGAAAAGAATTGATAAGATGAAGTGAATTTGTTTTTCTTTTGTAGTTCGATTTTTAATTATAATAACTTTTGTTTCCTTTTCCTTTTGTCAGAACTTTTATCAAATGATGATTACACTTTTATCACCTCACTGAACTTTAATGGAGACAAAGATGACGACGGAACTTTTTCCAACAATTCCTTGGCTTTTATCATCTTTTCCATGGTTATAATAATATCGTTTTCACTTTTCTTTGACACTTTTTTTTACTTCCTCACTGTGGTGGTTATTTATATCACTATTTTGAGTTTCTCATTCAATCTGATATTCAATTGATGGAAGATGAGAAGTGTTTACATGATAAAATGGTGAACTTGATAAAGATGATGATAGTTGATGAAGATAATATTGTTCTTTCTCCTTCTCTCTCTCTCGCTGTTTCATCTATTTGAATGATTTGCAACCGATTGTCACACTTGATTATAAGATGATGATGATGTTCACTTTGTTGATGGAATAGAAGAATAGTCGAAGAAAAGTTCGAAAAATTTATATAAGATAAATATAAGGAGAGAGGGAGATAAAAAAAGAAAAGAAAAGAAATGGTTAGTAGAAAATTCTGATGAACAGAAAAGTTCTTTTCTCTTTCAAGTTCTATCGACTTATTTTTCTTGTTATTCTCTTGTTACGATGATAATGTTCCGATATGATTCACATTCATTTGTATTTAGTTTCTGATTCACTTGTAGTTAATTTCAACTATTCAATTCGTTTAACTTTAAATTACTCAAGTATTTTATTTTCTTCACCATAATAATTCATTATACTATTAAAATCACTATCATGCTACTCAACTTATCGTGTATATTCATGGCTAAGTATCAAGAGTAAATGTTATTATGTGTATTTTGTAGCTATTCTATTCTTGAAATCATCTCCCTGATTCTTGAATGCGCAGATCAACCGACTCATTGATCTCGATAATACTTATATTCTGGTCAGAACTTATATAGTAGAAGAAGAAATAAAATCAGGTTTCAGAATTGGGAAAAAGTTATATCAAACTGAATATTTTTTTCTCCTTTTTCTTCTTCCTCTTGTTTCACATTGAAAAATCGAAACTATTTCTAATATTCTTATATTTTGATCTCATGTTCTTCTTGCAACTATTAGAAAATTGGACAAATATAACAACTTCGTTAGCCTATGACCATGGAATGAAATCTAAACTAAGCTCTAGATAAAATGAACAGGATTTATTAAAGAATATGGCAAAGTGGATTCGGGGTGAGAGTTCATCATATGATTTTCTCAGATTACCTTGATCTCTTTAAATGTAAGTCTTTTTACATTTTCACAAATTCAATCAATTGGAACGCGAAAAAGAAACAAAAAAAAGCTCAGAGAAACAGATAAGTTCATGGTTCCTGATTCTGAAAAATGAAAAAGCTCCATGAGAGCTATTGATTTCTGGAAATTATACCAACAGAAATGATAATAATAATCAAATGAATTATCTTTTGATTGTCTAGCTTACTATTATCATTTCAGTGATAGTTATCATTTAAGGTGAAAGACCCATGAATAAGGATGAAGTAAAAAGTAAAGGCTCAGATTCATGGTGAAAACATTCAGAATAAATTGTGATTACTATTATTATTTTCAATCATCATTAACTATTATCATTCTGTCATTTATTTAAATCATTTTCAGGGGATTCATTTATTTTCTTATATCTTATATTTCAAGAAAAATCTGCTAAAAATGGGACTGGACATTTCATTTGGAACCAGGATGAGATTTCCATGAGTAAATTGACAATAAAGTTCTTAACTTTTCTCAGAGAATATTTGAATTTCCTTGATTTCCTATTGAATTATTATTATTATTTTTATCTTCTCAGTCAATTGTTTGACGATCAACTGAAATTATCATTGGTATTATTTGCCCATCCCATGAAGTTATACCGAAAAGGAAAAGGAAATAAAATGAATATAAATCAAATGGATAAAAATGATTGGAACGATGAGGAAAAGAAGAAGGAAAAAATATTAGATAAAAGATAAAAATATCGAAATAAATTGTGAATAGATGTCATCCTGATGATGACCAATGGTCAAGATAATACATTATCCTAATGGTGGAATGAAAAAGAATGATTAACAATTGAATTGAGGATAAAGATTCCAATTCTGATTTTAGATTAACCCCCTGATGAGATCACCTAAACACCCAAGCAATTGAATTATCTTAATGTTGCCAATTAAATAATTTATGAGATTTGTGACATCAAAAGGACTGAAATTGTTACTCAAGATTTAGATATCAGAATTCATGTGAATTTCATGGAAGAGAAAAAAAAACAAAAATCTCTCTCAGTCAACTAGAGATTCCGAATGAAATTTTGTCATACATCATGATTATTACACAGTAAACATGTAATTCATTTATGTATATACATAATTCAGTTTCTCAGTCATGATTAACCATGAAAATTTGGAGGAGAAAAAGTTTACTCCAAATTTGATTCTTGATCTTTTCTACCTTTGATTAACTTTAGATTTAACTTTTCATGTTTTTCATATTCGAAAAATAAAATTGAAGCTGAACTTTTATCATGGATAAATTCATTATTTATATAAAAGAAATACTTTCCCATTTATTATAAAGAAGAAAAAAATTGAAATTAATCATATTAATGATGATGATTACAATGATGCTGATGATAAGTCAATCATCATTCCTGTAGATATACTCAAAGAAAACTAATGAACTTCATGAATATAAATACATATTATTATCTTGATATCATGATTACAAATAACCAAATGAATGGAAAATTGTATTCAAACATCAATAGATTCTCATGAAAATGGAATTCTTGATGAGATTAGTAACTAAATTATCAATTGAAACTTTTATTTCTCTTTTCGAACTAAAAAAATATGTCCAAATTACATTGAAAGCTCATCTGAAATGAAACAATCGAAAAACTATCGATAGAATTGATTGAGTAACCATTATTTTCATCTGACAGTTTCAATATCGATAACGATACTATCTCAATATAATCTGATGATCATTTGAAATTTTATCAGAATTTTGAATCTTCTCATCATAATTTTTACCTATCAATCTCTTACATTTATGTTCCTCCAATCATCATCTTTACACCCGATTCTCAATCAAAAGATTCACGATTCAGAACTTATCTACTTCCATTAATCATCATGACATTTACTTTTCTATTTTTATTGCTCTTATATCTTGTTACTCTTTTTGTTTTTATTGTTTATTGTTTGGAACATTTTTTATTTCGATATTAATTTGTACCTTTCACACTCTTACATTACTATTCTCTGAATTCCTTCCTAATTCATTTCTGATTTTGTACCTCCCCGTGAGATTTAATCTTTTCCAGAATCTTTCGATCCTCTCACCACTTTTCAATTCTTTTTTTCAATCCTAAAATTTTCTCCATTCTTCTCTTTATAAAATCACATCAATAGCAGTTATACTCGGAATAATAGTATCATAACTATGTTAAAGATTTAATGACAACCTCTTGGTTTCCCTCTTTCTCTTCCCCTCTTCACCTTTATTTCTCATTGATTCTCATCATATAAATATATGAGTTAATTGTTAGTAGTAAAAAACTGCATGCTCTAGCCCATTTTTGAACATTAATGAAGAAAATGAGCTAACACATGCAGTCACTTTTTTGAGATTTTTTATTACAAATAGTTTTTCAGTACATATTTCAATCGACGTTCATTTGAAATAAATTTACATTTTTTGAATAACTCGAAGAAATGATTCGGATGTGTAACAAAATAATTAAACCAACGAGTTAATCATTAGATCGACATTAGAGTCGCCTTTAGACAAATCCAATAAAACAAAAGATAGAGTTAATCATTAAGATTAGCTAATAAAAATTCCACCACCTAATCCTAATTAACCTTGAATTATCAAGATAATTGATAATGAAATGTAGTATATAAGGAATAACAATAAAATAAAAAGATTAGATTTCCTTTGAATAATCATCAAAGAGGTTTTCTATTAGCGAGGCTCGTCACTTTACATTCGTGACAGGATGATTTGCTAATATAATGAATAGAATACAGAAATATCCACATGCTGATGATTGATTTCCTTGATATTTTTCTTTTAAATATGTAAATCCTCTGGTTGCATTTCTTTCTAAAAAAGATAAAATACCATCTTCAGGTTCTCTTCCAGAAGAATCAAAAAATAATGCAGTTCCTTGTCTTGTGAAATAAACTGCAGTCCAATGAGTACCAATTTTATAATTAGGGTCTGTATTTATGATGAAACCTTTCGGTTTTTCAAATGTAACAGGCAAACGATCAATGGGAAATACACCACCGAACCATTTTATATTTTTAAGCTTATTTTTAAATTATTTCAATATTATTCAACATTTTAATAGTCACTAATCGCTTAATCGCTTCTAGGAGTTCATTTGCCTTACGAGGTCTGGATGTTGGAGCTGGTGTTATCGATCGTGATTTCCATGGTGAAGTCAAAGTTTTGATTATTAATAATAACAATGTTGTTCAAACAATAAATCAAGATGAAAGATTCTCACAAATTATTTTCGAACCTTATCATGAACCCAAAGAGGTTTTAATATTCAAACATTTTAAGAATGTTGAATCTGATTGTGATATTCCACTAACTGTTAAACGAACAAAGACTGATTCTGATTCCAAAGAAGTTGACGATGAGGAAAACGTTCTAAAAACTGTTGAGAACAGTGCACATGGCTTAACCAGCTGATGGAATATCAAAATTTTACTTCTACTCCGACCGAGATCTTTTCATTGAAAGAGTTGTTTATTCAACTAAAATTGGATTGTCTATGCCTGATGATGTATATGCTCATCTGATTGGATCAAAATTACTCGCTGACTATGGAATTGATGTGATTGATACAATTATCAAAAAATTCTACTAAGGAAATCAATATAATATTTCATAATCGCAATAACAATGTATACACTATTGTTGAAGGAATATCAATCGCTCAGGTATATTTCAAGTCTTATTCAAATCAATTGGATGAAACAGATGAAATTCCAGCTGGAACTTCACGAGATCCTTCTGGATTTGGCTCTACCGGTCGTAACTAGAACTTGTTCATTAATATAATTGTATTGATTGACTCCTATGAACATTCTTCTTGATTCTTATTAAATAAAATTTCTATAATTACTATTAAAATATAAATAGTGTCATATAAATTCATGACGAGCACAATGTTGAAAGTAAAAAGTGATCTTCTTGATTAAATGAACTTTAATGTCGAAACACAGTGAATAATAAAACGATACATAAAGTTAAACAGAATAATTAATGGACTTTGTGGGTGACAGTTAATGGTAATTATTCTTCTCTGGTCAATTCTATCGAAACTATTTTCTTTTATACTTTTTCTCGGAAAACTCGGGAGAATTAGAGAGAATTAATCGTCAAA